TGCCTGGTGTTGTTGTGACTCAAGTGCTGGGTCCTGCACTTGGCCTTGTTAAACCTCATACCACTGACCTCAGCCCATTGCTCCAGCCTGTCCAGATCCCTCTGCAGAGCCTTCCATCCCTCCAGCAGATCAACACTGCCACTCAATTTGGTGTTGTCTGTGAACTTACTGAGGTTGCACTTGATCCTGACATCCAAATCATTGGTAAAGGTATTAAACAAGACTGGTCCCAAAACCGAGCCCTGAGGGACACCGCTCCTGACCGGTCCCCAGTGGGATTTAACTCCCTTCCCCACAACTCTCTGGGCTCGGCCATCCAGCCAGTTTTCAGCCCAGCCAAGAGTCCACCTGTCCAGGCCATGAGCCAACAGCTTCTCCAGCAGAATGCTGGACATGGTATGTTATCGGTACATCATATTGATAACATAGCCTATATTATAATATTAATGTCTCTTAATATAATAAATATAAATAAAGCAAAGACAAAAAATCAAAGTTATTTCAACTGAGTCTCTATTTAAGAACACTGTGGATTACATTACGTGGTTGAGAACATCCTTTCATGTATATTTAAATGTCTTAACTTTTAGTAAGCTTAAAGCTTCACTTCCATAAAGTAGTATCTTATGTTTTTTTCTTGGGCCACCAAATCCATTGTAGTAGTTAGGGCAGTGCCTAGAGGTTTTAAAAGAAAAAAGTGTTACATTTGAAAGTAAATTAAATTCACTGAAAAATGTGTGTTAATGCTTTGAAGTGTTCTGTTTTGTTCTTCCCTTCAAAATGTTCATTTCCACAATCTTTACTGAGAAGTTAAAATAGCCAGCTGAGAGACCCAGGTGACATTGGCTTTATGGAGTCTTTATGTCCATAGCCTGAGTGCTTGATTCTTTCTTTGAATTGTCCTAAACTAGGAATAAACTGCACTGGCCCTACCGTCAGAGGTAACCTGTGTGATCTGTAAAATGGGCACTACCTCCATGAGATTTTATGCCTTTTAACCTTTTTACCCTAGTCTTAGAGAGCAGTGTAAACCGCTCTCCTGCAGCCCACTGAACTGTCCCTGAGATTCACCTGATCATCCCTGTGCAGGCAGGGCCCACCGCCACCATGTGATCCAGAACTGGGCAGCAGAGGATTTCTAACATACACCTCTTTCTTTTATCCAGAGACACAGAAGTGACAGGAGACCTCTCCTGTGGAAGAGTAGAAGTGTGGTTCATGTTGAGGGCCTCATGACAGACAAATAGTATTGCAGAGTTGCCATGGGCAGTCCCCCTGCCATTCGTCTGTACGTGGAACAGCGGAATCAGACTATGCAAGCGTTTACTATTGCTTCTCTTTGGCTGATGGATTGTAATTTATATTCAAAGTTCTATGTAATATTAAAATCTCAAATGTAGACATTGTATTTAAAGGAGCCCTTTTTCTTCAGGTGTGTATGTAGATGTGCTAGGAAAAACTTCAGCAGATGTTAAGCACTGATTATCACACCTGCATGTCTTGTGTGTGTACAGTGCTGCTTTAGATGCTTTTCTTTGTTCTGGATCATCACAGTCTTTCCCTAAGGATGGCAAGAGAGGGTAAGTTCCACAAAGCACTGTATGATTCAACTCTAGTTTCTGTAAACTTGTTTCCAGTTTTTCTCTCAGGCGTGGGATTGATTTAGCTTCTGGGCCTTTGCATGTATGGTAATTTTGCTTAAAAAAAAAGTTTACTATTTAGTAGTCTTATACATGTCTTTTTATTTTCTCACCTTTTAGGTGCGTTGAATTTCAATCCTGATGGTGCTGATTCCAATGCAGGAGAAAGACAACCTACAGATGTAAACTGGGTAAATAAAGATAGGAAAGACTCCAACAGCAATCGGAGTAGAAGTAATTTACCATTTCCTAGTCTGTCTTCTGAAAGAGGTATGGATTATGGAAGCTCTTCCAAAAAACATTATGGCTTTTCTACTCCAGAAAGTCAGTATGGGAATTCTGAAGACTTTAACCAATATTTTGGTACCAGTAAAAGTCTGAAGAATCACAGCTTGCAAAGCCAGAGGTGGCACAGGTCAAAAAACGATAGCGCATGTACGAGAAGTAAGGTGAGGCAAAGCACTGCTGATGCTGCTGTGGGTCCAGGAGTTTCAGACGCTGCGATAGCAGCGGGGAGAAGAGCCCCTCCGAGAGGATACAACGACTTCCTCTCCTCAGAGAGTGACAGGGAGGTACCTAGTGCAGATAGCAGAGGAGCAAAGCCAAAGAAAACGCACCTGATGCACGTGTCTGGAAGAGGTTTCAGGGAGAAAGGAAAGCAAGTCAATGACCGGGAGAAGCGAGTGAGCTCTAAACAGAAAGCAGAGCTGTTTGAAAATGTTCCATCTCTGGATTTGACTCAGTCTGACTCTTCGGAATCGTCCGTTGGGAAGGCATTCTGTGATGCTCCTGTGGCTAGTGGGGATGAGCACAGGAGCTACAGCTACGTAAACAAACGCTATCCCCGGAAGCCCGTGTGGAATAAACCCCCGGCAGAAAAGGAGTGTCAGAGAAGGCACGAGTCTCACCGGGGTAAGAACACAAAAGTAGGTAAGAAGTCTTCTCTTGCCTATACTCCAAAGGACAAAAATGACAGGAGGAAAGAACTCTCTGTTCACAAAAATGATGACAACTTAACCAGTGAAATCAGGCATCAGTTGTCAGATTCTGTCAGATGTAATGGAAGAAAATTCCTGCTAAAGGGGGATCAGGCACCTGCCCTTCATTTCAGCTGGACACAGTACTGGAAGAAGCAGAGCGATGTACCAAAAAACAAAGAAACTCATACAGGTAAAGCCTCCTAGAATGTGCTGTTCTCCTGTATTAAAGGTGTGATCTTCAGTAATTTAACACTGCCTTCACGTTTGACCAGCTGAAGAAGCTTGTTATTTTACCTTAGGTTAGTATTAGTGTCAGAGGGTAGAACTAGGTGTAGATGTGTGGTGTCTGAGTGCAGAGGTGTTCTGTAAGTTTGCTAGGGAAGAACAGATTTTGTTAAAATTTCTTTTGTGTTTTACTACCAAACCGCAGATTATAGCCTGGTCAGGCACCATGTTATGACACGTATGTTGTGAGTGCGGGGAGTAAAATTCCAGTATTCTGAACAATGGGCATTGAGAGGAACAATCCTAAAACTGATTTTGCAGAAAAAGTTTTCTAGCGTTACATGTACAAGTAGGAAAATGCTAGGCAGAAAAACTGTATTCTGCTCCTAACTGATTTTTTTTTTTTTTTTTCAATGGTGGTAGCAAAAGGTAATTAGAAATAGAGAAAGTCTCTGGGCACTGTTTTTGGAAGGTGAGAATAGAAATGTGCTGTTGAAAAGGTAATTAGAAATAGAGAAGGTATTTGGGCACTATTTTTGGAAGGTGAGAATAGAAATGTGCTGTTGACAGTGTAAAGCAGACCCATAGGCTTTGACTGAGTTAATTTTGTGGCAGCTCCTACCATTAGGGACTTAAACTATTAAATGGGTCAGCTGAATCTCTTCAGTGCCATGGTACTGCTCTGTTTCTAGACAACCTAGGTAGCTTTTTCTTGCTGTTTTAGGTTGGCTTTCGTGTGCACTGAGAAAATGGTCTTCTGTTATTCATACCACCCAGCAGAAGTCGTCCTGTTTTCTTTTCTTTCAGTGGAAATAATGAGAGAGATTATCCTCTTTTTTTCCCTCAATTTCCAGTTGAACAAACACACGAGCACTAAGAATTATATTTAATTGTTTTTTACAAAGCATCTTGACCAGATCTTTTGCTGCTCAGCATGATAGAGATGATTCTGTGGTAAGATGAGTAGACAAGTTCCTGTTATCTTAACTGCGGTGTTGGATCTTGTGAAGACTTTGCTTCTCAGCATCTCTTCTCTTTTGGAGCTGAGAAACTGGTAGCATAATCAGGAAGCATGAGATAACTCCACTCAGAAACTTTGTTCCCTTAGGAGGAGCTCAAGGATCAAGATCTTCCTTGATGCTTTCTAACTTAAACACGTTAACTGTCATGCTCGGGGCTTTTAGTTGAATCATAAAATTAAACAAACCTCAGACTTTCCGTTGTCATTATTATTAAATGACAAACATCATGTGCAATAAGCAGGAAGCGTAGTAGTAATCTTTTACAAGGAACTTAAGGAACCTGCCTCCAAAATGGTAGTCTTTCTTTGCATGCTTTAGTTGTGAGCTATTTTGGAAACAGTGTCTGCCACTATTTTCAGGGGACTGAGTTTGTGCTTTTAAAATGTTTTTCGGAAGGCTGTCTTCTCCGAGTGCAGTATAGCTATAGTCTTCTGGAGAAAACAAGTATGGTTTAGTGAGGTTGGTTTCTTTGTGACAGAAAATATTCATGGGATACTCTTTTGCTGACTGCTTGTCCCAGTAGGAAGGACAAGGCCATTAGTAGTGTACGTATAGGAAGGATTTTACCATCCCAGAGTACGTAGGAGAGATAAAAGATGGCTCACCACTGGAGGGATAAATAGATGGGTGCATTCACTCATGCTGTATAATGCAGCAAAGAAAGGAGCAGGCTGAGTCAGAAACCAGGCTGTGAGGGAAGTTGCCTAAACACATCTATGTTTTCAGGGCTGTTTTGTCTTTCATGTGGAGTTCTTACTTTCTTTTCAAAGTACTTTTTCCACGTTGTTTTCCATGGCTCAAAAGGCCCCGTACTTTGATTCCTCTGACTGCCGTTTCCCAGTAATTCCACTCCTGAAGCAGTCATTTTATGAGAACTTATTTCCATAATATGAGTATGTCACTGTTAATATTTGTTCTGTGATCTTCTAGGCACACTTGAGGATGGGAATTAAATTTTAATTTTGGCTGGAACTTCTGTAGCGAAGAGCTTTAAGCTCTTTGGTTTAAACTTTATGTGAAGATAAGTTTCCCATAGGAAGTGATGAGTAAAACCTCAACCTTCAGCTAAGCTTAAAACTATTAACTCATTTGTTAGATCAAACAATTGCTATTCATTAATAGGAATTATTATTGCCATTTCTATGGGAATCTTATAATCCCTCTTCTTGCTCTGAAACTAGAGAAATGCATTTAATTTGATTTTTTTTTTTTTTTCAGCTAGCTGACATTTCAAGAACTAATAATATTTTATTTGCAGGGTCATTGATTGAACAGCTGACCACAGAGAAGTATGAGTGCATGGTGTGCTGTGAGGTGGTCCGAATAGTAGCCCCAGTGTGGAGCTGTCAGAATTGTTACCATGTGTTCCATCTGAATTGCATTAAGAAGTGGGCACGATCACCAGCTTCACAAGCTGAAGGTTGGTATTCTCTTGCACACTTTCTCTCTGAAATGCTGGGGTCTGAACCCTGAGCCCCAAATTAAGGTTGCCATATGGGTGATTCCCACTGCCCTTCATACAGAGGTGGTGAGTTTGCCTTATAGCTTCCCCCCAGGGTGCGGCCGGCCCTGCAGGGAGAGCCAGAAGGGAAATGAGCCCCAGGGGTCCCGCATTGAGTTGACAAAGGTCAGGTGTCTGCTTGGGGATAAAAGCTGGGACCACTGGCAGGGGGTCAGGAGTGTCTGTCTGTGGAGTGCACTCCACAGAGCTTCCTGGTTCAGGGCAGACCTCCTGACTCACCCTGGAGCTGGGCCCTGGTCTGTTTAGGCCTTTGCGAACGCGGGTGGATCGGGTGAGAGTCACCATGTGGGCACCTTTCTCTTACGTGTTTAACTGGCTGGTCTTGCCGTCTCCCACCTCGGGTCACTGTTTGTACCACCTGTTGTGGGCCGAGTTGCATCCTTTGTGGGATCGTTGGGGGTGGCGTCGATCGTGTATGAGCTGATTGATCTGTTTGTACCCCTGGTGGGTCATTCATATAGTAACATTTCTGCCTACAATACAGTCTGCGTATTGGATTCTCTTCCTGCTGGTTGTGTCGTTCCTGTTAGGCCTGGTCATTGGCAAAACACTCTCCCAAATATACGTAATAGCAAAGTTTGTGTTTCTTATGTTAGAAAACTACTTGTAAACGTCATCTAAAGTAATCCGTAAACTGTAAACAAAGCAAGTTTTAAATAAAAATTTGGGTTTTCTTCAGGATCCTTAGCCTGCTTATTCCTAACTGTTTAGTTTCTTTCTAGTATTCTAGCTAAAACTGATTTCCTGGTTTGGGTATGTAAGATCATTCAATGAAATCAGTGCGTCAAGATGCAAAACTCTGTGGCTGTGTTTTTACACACCGAGAAATGTCTCATCTTCTCTCATCTGCTCTTGGCTGAGCCATCAAAGAGAAGCAGCATTCCCAGCATTAGCTGTCTGCTTTTAGTCAACCACCTTTTAGTTCTGTCCTCAGATAAAATTCTCGGGAAATCAGTCACTGATGCCACACAGTGAAATGAAATTCAGAGAAAACAGAAGGCTTCTGCCTTTGTCATGATCTTAAACTGTTCCCAGATTCTTCATATTATGCCACTTCTTGATACTTAATGCCACTGCTTTCTGCCCTTTGGATGCTTTGGTGTAAGTTAAGGCTCAGTTGCAGCCTCTCTGCTTTGTTCAGTTGTGTGATGTAAACATATTCTGAAGACTGTTAATCTAAAAGTAAGTTTAATTTTTTTCTGTGCCCTGCTTGTTTAGCATTGCCATTCCTCATGTGCTTTTCTGTCTGTCTCTGGGCAGGCCAAGGAAATACAGTCTGTTAGCTACTTCCCAATGTTTGACAGAAGTTCTTCCAGACTGTAAATCTCTTGCAGAAAGGATTGGTTGCAAAATTCTTGGATTTCTGAAGATGGATAGACAGACTGTTGGGTAGGGCTGGTCATGCTTCATACTGACAATAGAAAGGAAGTTAGGAATATGAGCACAAGATGTGAAACAAAGGCACTGGAATGTTTGAGAAGGGAACAGATTTTTTGGGTAAGATGGAGATCCTAAGCTGTTTTTCTGTCACCTTTGGAGATTAATTATCTCCCTGAAACAGCTTATTGCTTGATCAGAAGACTATCTACTTATGTGAGGGAGTTTTGCTTATCTGTCAAGATGGTGACCTTAGATGCTTGAATCCTGAAAGCAGTTCAGGTAGCCATGTCTTTCGGCCATTTGCTTTTCTTGTAAGAATTTGTGGACTAAATATGTTATTGTATCCTGTGTGTGAGAGAACTTGAGCTAATCATTAATTGAAATTAAAGTTGGTGGCCTCACTATAACTGATTCTATAGCTCCAGTAAGGACACTGATGCATATTTTTTTGACCTGCAAAGCCCTGCTGCCCTATCTTCATTAGAACTTGTACTTCAGAGTGTATTTGATCTATGGTAGGTTGTTTCAGTGTAGATTCTGCTTTTCAGGCTTTGTATGATGTTGAGGAATTCATTAGAACCCTGTCAGTAATTATTGGCCACCAGAAGAGAAGTAGGACACTGTAATCTACCTAACTCAATAATTCACTGTTTTTCTGGAAGGAGAAAAAAAACCTGTTTTAATTTAAATGTGTTATCATGACTTCCAGGAAATCTTATCTAATCTCAGCACCCAAACTCTTCACTGCTACATTTCACTTCCTGCCTAGTGAGAGTATGTTGTTCATAAGATCAGTTTTGAGTGTTCATTCTTCCATGTTTCTGAAGCAACTGAGTGCTTCAGTGAGAAGGTCCCTCCATTTGGGGCCTTACAGCAGCTCCTATTTCTGTGCACATAGTAGGAGGCTGATGGTGCATATGTGCATGTAATTTCTCACTATTTGTCATCTCAGCATTGTATCAGAGAAATCCTGAATCCTTGGATGAAATAGGGAACATCCTTGATGAGGTACCTTCTCACATAGTCCTGTCTTCCAAACTGTCAGTGGTGGGTGTCTGTTGGGGGGAGAGCAGACGTGTGTCCCTCGGGGGCAGGCCGCGGGGCGCGAGAGCTCTGGCTGCAGTGGAAGCGGAGCGGCGCTGCGGCGCTGCCTCTGGGACACCAGTGCTGGGCAGGTGGGGACCTCGTGCAGCAGAACCCTGCTTGGGAGTGAAACTCCAAGGAGTGCACCACTTGGGCTGGTGAGCGTGTCGTTCATGTGCAGTGTCCTGTTTGCCCATTAGCAGCCTCACTGCTGTAATGCGGGTGCTGTGGTCTGGGTCCTGAGACCCAGAGCTGGACAGTTGGCACCTGTGCAAAGGTGGGTGCAGATGAGGGGAAGTGAACTGTGCTGGGTTACTGGGTCAGTGAGATAAAACATGCTTGGGACTCCACATACTCCCACAGGAAGAAGCAGAAAACTATCCTGGGTTACCATAACAGTCTTCTTGCACCCTAGAGTATCTCTTCACAGAGACTCCTTCAGATGTGTTTTACTGAATGTGTCTTCCTTCAGAGACTTCATTGTCTTCTTTGGTCTTGACAGTCATCTGAAAAATGACTTTGTCTGACCAAGACAAGTGAAAGAATCCCCTGATTGTCTGTGGGGAGTCGTAGGGCATTCTTAGTCTACTTACATCAGACTTGCATTTGACATCCAACACTGAGTATTTCTACAATGCGGACTGGCAGTGGCACTTGGAGCAAGAGAATGGATTTTCATTTAGTGTAAGATACGTCCTGTGCAGGAGGAGGAGCTGTGTTAGGCATCACTTTTCCATCATATGGAAAGGTTCTTTCCTGTAAGGGAGAACGTAACTTCCTTCTCAGCAAGCATTTTTACTGATGTTTTGAATTATGGCCTGGAGGAATGTGACTGTTGGATATTGTACGGTTAAGGTCAGTCTGACAAACATATCTGCACTGCACACAAGATCTTTTACTTTGTTATGTTTATAAAGGCGAAGTTGTTGTCTCTTTCCCCCTTCCTGCTCTTAATTCTTTTTGAAAATGAAGCTTTAATAGTGTTTGACTTGTGCCCTTATATTGATGGAATAAAAGTTTAAGGCATTTGCTTCCTTCTTTGCAAGAAAGGTAGTTTTGCTGGTATTTTCATTTTGTCTGGAAGGATTGGAGGTATCTGAGTTATTACAACTGTGTCTTTGTGTTCTGCTTCCTCTGCTGCCCCTGCCCTCCACTTCCAGATGAGTGAGTGGTCTGTACCAATGCAGTATTGGCCTCAAAGATGACTTCTGAGTTTCAGTGGTCAGAATATGAATCTACTTGCCTTTTTTATTTTTTAGATTGAGAAGTCAAAGCAATAATTTATTCTGCTACAGATTATCTCATTGGAGAACTGCATAAGACCTGTTAGAAATAGTAACATGACAATGCCAATGTTCATTCTAGTATACTCTACTACAGATGAAGTCACTGAAATCTTCAATTATTTTATGTACCTAACATTGCATATATGTTGAAAATTACTGCTGTGCCAATGGCCTTTGGAAATGCAACCTTTTAGCATTCATCCCCTATTCCAGCAGATGTGTTTGGATCCGTTCTTATGTAATCACCTATGACTCATCTAGGCTAGCATGTGAAAAGGAAAGTTGCTTGTTTAAAATTGCATATAAAGATCTCTAATCTGTATATATAATACCCAGCTCTTCCTAATCGAGGCTCTTTTTGAGCCCCTTAATCATACGAAGATTCTGGAAACTGAGGAGATCAGTTCACTGTGCCTTTATGACAACAGGTATGCAAGAGGAAGAGCAGGGTTCTGGGCATGCTAGCACAGATAAAGATTTTTGTGGCTGAAAGTGCTGTAAACGGGTGTGCTTGCAAGAGGGAAGTGTATGGAAAAAAATCTGTGTATGGTAAACAGTTACAAGTAAGGAATATTTTTATCCTAGAAGGGAGAGCATAGCAAATACTAAAACAATCTCTAGTAAACAGGAGTGAGGTGTGTTGGTTTGCGTAGGCTGCCGTTGTTTCGGTGTCCTTGGTTGGAATCCTGCCTACTTTGCAGAACAAAGTTTTTATACAAGGAAGTTTTTTTTTTCCAAGGACCTTCACTGTACTTTAGAGAAAATGCTGCTTATAGCAGACTAGGCATCCTGCTCTGGGGGAGGTGCTGATAGGAGAGGGCTTCTGCTGACTTTTGGAAGCTTTGATAATAGGCTTGCATTCACAGCTTTTGAAAAACATACCAGGGACTCACAATGAAAGAGGTTGTGTTGTTAATGGAATAGTTCAGTATACTGTACAAAGTAATCCTGCAGGGAATGCCTTAGGGGTTAGTGTGTTAGGATGCTGGCTTTGAGAGCAGCTGCTGGCAGTAGTACCATTGTGCATTGTGATGGCTCACATAAGAAGTCTCCTGTCTAACAGATAGTGAACCTAGGTGTGCCTGTCATTGCAGTGCAGTCGCCTTGTCACTCATAGGGTGTTCAGAATGTTAAAATATCATTAATCTTGATTAGATTTCTTAATTGTGGACAGTTCTAAACCCGCAGATTTATTCATTTTCTAGCACTGAATTGATTGGTTAAGAGAGACAAGGAGAGCTACTCAGTTTATATATTTTTATATCTTTATGTAAAAATATCTCTGTCTCTCCTTCCTGCCCTCCTTTGTGTTCAGTAGTGCTCTTATACTAATATTCTTCATAGCCAGATATGTACTGAATTCGAGAAACAACTCTATGAATGCTGGTTTCCTTACACTGAAGTTCTTCCTTTGCTGTTAACCTCCTGAAACACAGAAGCAAGAAAACTACCATTTAATAAAATACCAACTTGAAAAACAATGCCCTAGTCAGTAGCTAGTATTCTCACGTTTAATTAGATTATTCTGGTTTATGGAGCACTAATTTATTCTGGACATGAAGCAATACTAAACTGGTCTTTTACAAGAGACATAAACTCATAACATGAGAGGATAATGAAGAGGAAAATATAGGTGGTGCTTAAGACTGTAGGTAATCGTTTTTCTCACCAATTTCCCAAACATTAACATTTTTTCCTCACATCCTTTAGATACAGTGAAGACTGTCTATATTCTAGTAGGATGTCTTATAAAAGGATACATGGTAATAGAAAAAATACAATTTTAAAATTCATTCTTGCCTCTATAAAGTTGAAGCCTGACCAAATGAAATACAACTACTATGTTTATATTGATACTGTATAAAATATATTTTTATTAGCCTACTTTCTCACCACTTCTAATCAATGGAAAAACTTAGTTTGATTGCAATTGTGGTAAGAAACAAGGCAAGAAACAACTTACTCTGTTTGCTAATTAGCTCTGTTATTTCCTTAAGTCATTTTTATCTTTAATTTTTTTGTTAACAGATGGTAATAGTGGTTGGAGATGTCCAGCTTGTCAGAATGCTTCTACACAAGTTCCCAAAACTTACACTTGTTTCTGTGGTGAGTTTCTTCCTTGCTTCTAGCCTGACCAACTAAAGGGTGCTTTTAACTTTCTTACATTTTATGAGCTTAATTTAATGTCAAATAGCAGCTACTTAAGTGACTTCTCAGAGCGCAGAAGGGAAGAATCTTCTGGATGTTGATATTCCAGTGGCACTTACTTTTAAAGAAGTTGAGTATATATCAGCACTGAAAGTGGATCAAGAACATAAAACATTATCTTGTGTAATTTTGTTTTTCAAAGAAGACTACTGACATTACTCAAAATACAGCTTTTTTTAGGGGGGTGGGACTCGATCTCCAGGGGTCCCTTCTGGCCCCTAACATTCTGTGATTGATTTTGGTGTGATATTTTTCCAAAATTCAGTGTTATATTTGAAGTAATAACTTTGGTTTTGTTTTTGACATGGATTAGGTAAGGTGCACAATCCTGAATGGAATAGAAATGAAATTCCACATAGCTGTGGGGAACTTTGTGGAAAGAAGAGACAGTGTTTGGACTGTCCACATCTTTGTAACATGTGAGTAAATGTTTATCATATGAATACTGAAATGATATAGAGAAAATTTCTGAAAACTGTATTTGGATTTTTTTTTACTATAGGATATGCTTAGAGGTATATTTGGTTTATAGCTCAACTGAAGCTTGGAAGAAAAGGATATTTGTGTTTGTATGTCTCAAGTGAGTTTACATGGAAGAATGAACAGGAGATCAACAACAATAGGTGTGGCAACACTTCCACCCTGTTTTAGGAACTAAACCAACTGCCTGACTTGGCCTCAAGAATTTTCATTAAAGCAGAGAAATAATAGTGGATAGGAGTGATTTTAAATATGTATCCAGTGGTCCACCAGATGTTTTAGGTGCTGCTTTTGCTGTAGTAGTGTTTGTATATCTTAATCTAAGGAGCAGTGGTACACGGTTAAGCTGAAGGACCTCTATCCTTTGGTTCTTTTTCTTTTCTTTGGCATGCAAACTATTGAGGATAAGAGGGCATTATATGTGTGTACCTATTTGATGAGGCCACGAGGTGGTTGAACCCTCATGGAGATCTTATATACATAACACTATATGTAACTTGGATTGATTTTCCCAACATCTATTAGTATAGCTCAATGAAGAGAGACAGAGCAATTCTCTTCAGTTTTGGACATTTTCCTTTAGATCCTTTCTTAGCAGAGTGGCAGTATTATACTTATGGGGTTAACAGCATTATACAAGTTTTTTCAATGTATAAATATACTTGCTAGTCAGAAAAATTAATTATATGTCATTCCCAGTGCATCTAGCTTCATTTTCCACATATGGAAGTTGGTCTGTGGTGCCTGTTCATATTTGTGTTCTAAGAAATTTTTAATAATCAGAAGCAATTGTTTCTGCTCTTGGTATACAATCAGAAACTTTAGTCATTCAAACAAATAGGTTGTCATCTTATACTTTTTTTAAAGTTTACTAAAACTCAGAACATTACTAGAACTTTACTCTGAGCTTTTAATTTAACGCATTCTGTTTTGAACCTATTTCAACTTGAATGAAAGAATATTTCTGTACTGTTTAATACTTTTTTTTGCCACGTGTGAAAAATATTATATTGGTTTTCTTTCCAGATTGTCATTTTAGTGCTGTAGCTGTTTTCTTAATCCATCGTCATACTAGATCCCCTTTGCTGTGGTTTGCAAGGTGAAGCTGACACACAGATCTTTCAGACTACACTTGATGTAGTTGATATTCTGACTCAGCAAAACACAGATTCTCTTGGAGGCCAGCTACTGCCCTCCATCTCAGGAGAGGAATATGTCCACAGAGGACCTTTTTACCCACTCAGAAATAAGTAGGCTTTTTAACTACATTGAGAACTCCTCAACTTTAGTTTGCTGCCTGATAAATTGTTCCATAGTGTTTGGGAGACACAGATGGTCTTTTCCTCTTTTTTCCTGTCCCAGTCTACTTCAGAGGCTCAGTCTCTAGCATTCTCTTTTGGGAAGTCTTCTGAACAGTGTTGGCAATGTTGTGTCTGTTGCAGGCTATGAATTTGTAGTCCCTGGTAGTCTGATCTGCATCAAGAGACCTTTTAAAGTTACAATTTGCTACCAGTTTAAGTTGTAGCAAATTTAAATGTGTTTGGCTCTTTCCATATGAGTAAACCATGCTGAGATCCTCTAGTCCTGGAGGGAAGGGAACAGTAAGGGTGCAGTTCAACATAATGGGTGGTTTGGGCACTCTTTGACTTGTGATAGTGATCTGGAGAGGAATGCATCAGTATGTGTTGGACATATCTTCCTCCTGTGTGGGCACCTTAGCTGTTCATGAGGACACACTCTGCCTTCATCTGCTACATCAAAAAGTGAGTGGAAACCTGATTCCCTCTTGCTATATCAGGAAGTGGTGGAGTTAGAGATGGGGAGCTTTATCATCTGAAGACATCGTTATCATTCTATTTTACCAGCTCCTCCTCACTGAACAACCTCAACTGATCTAGAAGTCCAAATCATGATCTCTCTGTGGGAAGAATTTTATTTTGGCGGAGTGCTCAAAGGTGGACTTGTTGCCATCAGAACCAAGAATCTTTTACATGGTTCTCGCTTGAGTGTAGGTGAACTCAGAACTCTTCCTTGCAAGCACTTGTTTCTCTGGACTGTGGATCTGCTCTGTAGCTTCTTCCCCTGCTCCTACAGGTCCCCATAAGGTTGATACAGTTTGAACCAGAGATTCCAGTTTGTTCACTGAGATCGTAAAAACTTTTTTTTTCATTTTCTTGCCACACCCTTTCTGGATCAAATGTTTCATGTCATTGTCAAGACCTTCTGCCCTCACAGTGTGATGGATGATGAATTCTATGGGGTAAACTATTCATGCTTTTCTCAAGTCTTTGTGCTTTTAGTTAAGAGTAGGGATGTGTCCATTACTATAGGCCGTGGACTGAGCCTGGTGTGGTATCTGAGTCTTAGTGTGGCATTTTTGGTGTTGCCCTCTCTCCAGTATTTGGTCCCATCTATTCTAGGAAACCGTCTGCAGCTGAACTATGTGGGAATCTCATTTAAACTACAGCTTCATTTATTGTGTTTCAGTTGAGTAGACCTCTGTATCTTCAGTCCATGAGCCTCTGTCAGAGCTTATCTGGATGAATCCTGTTATGAACTCTATTAATTGGTGGGACTTGAATCTGAGTCTTGAGGAACCTGGGTTTTGAGACGTTGGATTCTTGCTTAGTTTCTTATCTATCTTTGTGGCTGTTGTATTAAGAGAGTGTGGGAGATTTAGACACTTCTAGTTATCCCCTGCCCTTCATATCAGAATTATTTTTGTAGTGATTGGCAGCAGAATCTGAATTGCAGTATTATCTGAGTTTTCAGAAAGTACACATTGTATATCTATGCTGCAGCTATGTGATGTGATGCTACCAGGATCAAACAAACATCACATACAATAAGAAAAGGAAATGATATCAGAGGAACATTGTTCTCATTGCTTTACATTAGGATGCTTGTATTTGCTCCCTCTCCCATGTAGGTGAAATGTGCAGAATACAGGAGGTGTGCTAGGTAAGCTATTGATGGTGTCTAAACATCAGCCTCCCTTCCTGCTGCCTGCCTTCTGCATGCATTGTGGTTGTCCTCTCTGGAATGGGCAGCTCTGAGAGCAGTGACTGGTGATGGAAACTTTTGGTGATACCAGTTGTGCTATTCAAAGCACTGCTTAGGTGGTTACGTTATTCTTAATGTAATATGAAGTAGCAAGTTGAAGCAGATCAAAGTGGATTTACTAGAGATCTGTTTTCCTTTTAAAGCTGAGTAAGCATCAGACTCTTGTAGCTGAGGAGAAAGAATTGAATTAAATGTCATGGGAAAAGATTTGGATTCTTCTATTGTAATTTTTTATATAGTGATTAGTTTTATTGAGTTGTATCGAGTAAGCATTGAAAATACAGGGATTTTTATCCCTCCCCCACCCCCTGAGTCTCTGAGCAGGAAATGAGACCAGAAGGTGGCAAAATCAGAGTGCATCAGATGCATTCTGTTATGGATAATACGAGTGCCTAGAGCTCTCAGCATCACAGATGCTTTTGGCAAGAGTATTAAAGCTCATACCCCAGTAGGAGAGGCCAAGATGACAGCCAGCTTCAGGCAAGAAGTGTTGTATCTTGGGGGGTTTACCTGGTCGTAGTTTTCTCCTTTGAAGTGTTAGACCATCATTTTTGAGGCCTCTGTCTCTAAGCACTGTCCAAAATGACATAATGAGATGTTTCCATCCTGTGGATTTTCAATTTGAATCAGAGCTGTGTTTCCTTAGGTTTTGTGACCCTGGTGGTTATGGCTTTCAAATTACATGGCATCTCTTTCACACTTGTAAGGAATGTCTGAAATTTGTTATTCCAATCTAAAAAATGAGTTTACAAAGATACAGAATTCTTCAGCCCACTGTTAACTTAACCAGCTTATACACTTATGTGTTTATTTATACTTTTATACCACCATAACAAATGCTTCTCTATTGCAGTGGTGTTTTGGTTACTTGTTTCTGTTTTGGGTGTTGCTTTTCTTTTTTTTTTTCCCCTAGCTTTTTGCCCCCCAGCCTTGAGTATGGATATTTTTAATGGTTGGCCAATTTCCAGCTGTGTTTCCTCAGACTGACTTTTTTTTTTTTGGAGGTAGATGTTAAATCTCCTTTCCATAGTGTAGTGCTTAGATGGATGCTGCTATTGAGTATGGTAGTAGTTAGCCCATTTGGATGAATTTACTCTGGTTTAGTATTAAATCTTTAATATTTGCTCAGATTTATTGAAATAGGTTAGTAAACATTCATATAAACAGCTCTCTTGGCACAACTGAGGAAGAGGCAAGCAGCTGTTTGAAAGGGGAGTGCTTTGCAAACATTTTGCTAGTGTGATCTGTGGCATGTGTAGAACTTCACAGAGCAAGTTGTCTTCACATTTTTAGTTTAAATACATTGAATGTCGTTTTGGTCTGTTAGGCTCTACATCAAAGAAACATCTAGCTTAACCTTCAAGAAAATGTTCCTTGTAATAAACTTTGTAACTAAAAGTTCTCCCTGCCAACTGGAACTGTGCAAGGCCTTGAGAACATTTGAAAAAGGTCTTACAAAGGCAGTAAATTAAATTTTTTCTCTACTGTTCTAAATCTTAGTGTCTGATCTTCCTTCATAGATATTTGGTGCTGTAATCTTTTTCACAGCAGTTACCAGAGGTCCCATTGAGCTGTCTTACAGTATATAGTATTTTCACTGTCAGACAAGTAGTTTCATTTCTCCTATTTCTAGATCACAACTTTTCTTGAATGCCAGTTCTTCAGAGCAGCAGCAATAAATTGTGAAATAAATCCTCCTTGCTGATGATAGATGATGGAGTTTCAGTAAAAATAAGACTGCATTCACTGAACAAAAGTTAATACTGAAATCTTCAACCTGTCTTTTTGAGTTTAGTTTGTAACACTGTTAAGTCGTTTAACAACTATTTGCTTAGTCCCTTAGCACAAACTAAAACTTTGAGGTATCATCCATCTTTATTATCTGAGGAGAATTTTCTGTGTGTTTTCTGTGTGTCTGTGTACTAAATGAAATCTGAATTCCCATCTTAACTGTTGGTGATCAAGTAAATCCTGGAACTGTAAGTATACTTTAGCTTCTGCATAAACCAAATTGTATCAGAGAATTTTGATAAATAAATATTGTGCAAGTGTGTGTATCTGGAGGGATGAGTAAAGAATACTTATTTTCAAGGACAGAAGTTTGGTTTCAAAGGGTTAGTTTTTGCATTAGTAGATTATTTTTTTTCTGACTATATTAACAGCTTAAAGCTGTCTAAAACATTGCATTATCAAAACTTGGAGATGTCTGGAAATTAATTGTGTGATACTCTTCTAACAGAAGGAATCTTCCAAAATGGCTGCATTTTACTATTCTAGCAATTTACAGCTTAAAAGTGTTTTTATAAATTGCTTTTGTGTGATATGGTGTCATCAGAAAGTGCGCCAAGACTGGGCTTATGGAAGCAATGTTAACATTGCTGGAATATGACAATGTTGAGGCACATAATTTACCAGGTAGAAAAAACATGACAAAATTCCTGGAAATTACATCATCTGCTTTTTCCAAGTTAATACCTAGATCATAGTATTTTGAGTTTATATCTACTTTTAATCTGTTTCTTAAGTTGATGAGCCTTTAGAATACTACGTGGATGGGTCTTTGAGAATTAAAGTCAAAAGAGTGAAATATATAGTGCTGTCCTTTTACAAGAGATTTTTCTGCTGCATAATGCGTAAGTTAATTCTCATTGTCAGAAGTTTCACAATACAGCCTCAATTAATTTAATGGTTTTGCTTTCTTCCTTTTTCCCTCTACAGCACGTTTTCCCTGCTCCATCCAGTTTTGATCTTTTCTCCCTTTCCTTGTGCCTAACCTAGCATTTATTTAACTCTTCATTACGCCATAAAACTGACCTGTCAAAGAGGAAGGGTTGAGGTTTCTTGGGTTTGTTTTCAGTCTCATTTTTGATGGTGTTTTTTTGTGTTGTGTTGGTTTACTGTGTAACGGCCTGGGGAATCTAGTAATTGCCTTGTAATTCTTGTAATTGTGTAAGGGGAGGGGGATGTTGGGGTGTGGTTTTGCTGTGGGTTTTGTTGTGGGGTTTTATTGTTTGGGGTTTTTTTGGGCTCGGACATCTGGGCTAGTCAGTCCTGGCCTGTAATAACTGCTCCACATAAGAGGTGCTGTGTTTGCAAAGGAATGGAGTTGGAAGCTGGCTAAGAAAGAGTGCAGACTAGTTAGTTAAATATAATTTCACAAACCTTGGCTTGTTTGTGCCCAACAGAGGTCTCAGTGTAGATAAAGGCCATCTAGCGTTTCGTGAAGTAGGTGGTGAGAACTGATAATCAAGTAAAGAACTGGCATTGATGACACAGAAAATTGTACTTGATGGTAAGAAAGAATGCTAAGATAGACTTGCTGCATCTCCCCCCACACCTTACCTTACAGGAAAAGGAGCAACAGCTCTTGCTGGTAGTGTTAGAAATACTGAGTTCAAGGAGAAAGCCACCAACTCAAAAGAAGAAAAGAATACAGAAGTTTTTATCTATTTATGGTCACTGAAGAAAGAATGGTTTTTATGGTATTAATGGTTTGGACATGTGGTATTTGAGTGTTATCAGTGATGAACACAGTTGAGTTGATGCACATCTACTGGTGAAATGTGAAATATGAAATATATTAGTAGTACTGTTACTGTTGATTTGACAGCAGC